GGACCAGGCCAGGTGGGGGGGTTGCAGGGTGGGGGTGGGCAGGGTGGTTCGGCGCGGGGACGTTTGTATTCGCCCCTAGGACCGCGGTCGGCGCGCAGCCCTGCCGCCCGCGTGTTGCATCGTCACTGCACCAGGCCCCAGGCCCACGGCTGGCCGCGCGATGCGATCGCTCTTTCGCAGGTCCATCTTCCGCCGCAAAATGGAGGGTGCCGCCCGCGAGGTCGCTGACCTGGCGAGCCGCGCGGCTGCTGCGGGGCCGGGTGCAGACGCCCTGATTGGCGGCGGCGGCAGCGGCGGCAGCGGCGGCAGCGGCGGGCTGCGGCCGGGCGGGGAAGAGCTGCTGCGGCGGCTGCAGCGGTACGTCGACGAGATTACGGCGGTGCGCGCCTTGGACTGTGATCTGGCGCGATCTGGGGCCGAGGGTGCGGGGCATGGAGGCGCGATCGCGCGCCATCCATGGAAGCCCCTCGGATCCCACGATTTGCAGACTCGGAGTGCAGCAGCCTTGGGAAGGAATGCAGGCCGTCTGAAACGGGCAACCGATGCGCACAGCCTGAAACGGGCTCCCAAGAACCCCCCTCGAACACGCTCCTCTTTCTGCCGCTCCCCCGCTTCCGCGCGGCCAGGCGTCCGAGGAGCGCAGCGCCGAGGTGCGCCGCGACGCTGATGAGCTGGCGGCGCGCCACACGGACCTACGGCGGCGGCTGCGGCTGCTGTACAACGGCTACCGGGCCCTCAGGTGCGCGGGCGCGCTCACCACCCCCGCGCTCGCCAGCGACCGCGGCAAACCCTCGCCGGCGCTGGCGGTGGGCGCCAGCGCCAGTAGCCTCCTCCGCGGGCCGTTGAGAGGGAAAAGGCGGCGTTGCAAAACCAACGGGATGCGGCATGCCTTTTCAAAGTGGGATCCGCGTGGTCCGTCATCCTCACGCCCACAGAGCCTCTGCCACGAGCGACAGGTGCAAGCTGCCAGCCCTGACACCTCTGCCCTCGCACGCGGCCCCAATCATGACTCTCAATCCAAACCAAACCAAATGCAACCCGCCCCAAACCATTCCAAGCCAATCCAGACCACAGTATCCTACACCAAAGCAACCCAACCCAGCCTCAACGTAACCATACCAAACCAGTCAACACCAAACCAGGCCCATCCAAATTAGACCAAACCAAACAGATTAATTTAAACCAGTTCAAACCGAACGAATCAATTCAAACCCATTCGCGCCGCGACAGGTACAAGCTGGAGGATGAGTGGCCCCCCAGCGCAGGAGCGCCCCCCCGCGCCCCCCATGAGGACGCTGTTCTGGCCGGCGGCATGGAGGAGATACTCAAGTGAGGCGCCGCGGGCCTCGGGGCGCAGCAATCGGGGGGCAGGGAGGGGAGGTTGGGGCGGCGACGCCCCCTGGGCGCCTGCCGCGGCGCGTGCGCCCGGAGGATGTGATGCTTTTGAGGTCGAGCGTCGGGCGAGTGAGTGCAATACTTTTGGACCGATGAGAGCCGCAGAGATCCCAGGTACTCCCTGATCGCCGCCCGCGTCCGCCCGAGGTTCTGCCTGCTCTTCCGTGCCATTCCCCCTGCCTGCCCGCCTGACGCAGCCCTGATTAGTTTTGCTCCGTCCTCGTTTGGCGTTGCGCGTGCGCCCAGGCAGGATGAGGGGGCGGACCGGGCGGCGATGGGGCGCGCGCTGGATAAGGCGGCGCGGCTGGAGGCTGAGCTGGGGGCCCTGAAGGTGTGAGAGGGTGTGTATGTGTGTGTGTGTGTGTGTGAGTGTGAGTGTGTATGTGAGCCGGCGTGCATGCATGCGTGCGAGCGTGTGTGTGTGTGGGGGGGGGGGCGTGTGGGGGCTTGCGCCAGGCGGCCGGGATTTGTCGAGGTTGCGGGGCATGGCGCCCCACGACCCGCCACCAAAGCGGCACAGCACGGCGCAGCATAGCACAGCACGGCACAGCACAGCACAGCACAGCACGGCACAGCACGGCACAGCACGGCACAGCACGGCACAGCACGGCACAGCACGGCACAGCACAGCACAGCACGGCACAGCACAGCACAGCACGGCACAGCACGGCACAGCACGGCACAGCACGGCACAGCACGGCATCGGCCCACGCTCCGAGGTGCCGGGCGCTCACCCGGCCTGGGCGCACCCACTTTTGACGCTCAAACCCGCCCCTCACAGGTGCGCCAGCTGGAGTTTGACACCCTCGGCCCCCAGGGCCTCGGCCGCCTGGCGGCGGGCGGCCAGCCGGCCGCGGCGCAGCGGGCGGCAGAGCTCCGCGCGATAGGTGCGTGGGGCGGCCGCCCCGCCTCGCATGTCGCGTTCCAGGGGCTGCCCTCGCTGGCGCGCATGCCGTCGATCGCGCTTCGTCGCTGTGCCGGGGCCGCACGAGGCCCTCGGGGCCAACCTTAAACGGCTGGCTGCAACCCCATCCCATCCAGGGGCCCATCCAGGGGTGGCGCTTGTGATTGCTGCGGCATCCCTTCTCTTCATGACCTCTCACACGGCACTCAGCAAGAGGCCCCTGGGTCCCCTCACCGCACGTTTTTCTGCCCCGCCTCGTCCTCCCCACACCCAACCATCGACACTTGCTCCATGCCTGCGCGCAATTTTCACATAGTTTCATCACAATCCATCAATGAAACCCCTCAAAACCCCGCAAGGCGCTGGCGCCCTGCAGCTGGAGAATGTTCGGCTGCGGGAGGAGCTAGATCGCCTCAAGCGGCGCCTCACGCGCAACGAGAGTGTCGCAGCCGCGGCCGCGGGCACGGCGGCGGGACAACCGGACGTGGCGGTGCTGCAGGAGATGACCAAGGTGTGTTTGACGCATGCGCGCTGCGCACACGTGCGGGTGTTTGCGTGTGTGTGTTGCGGAGGGGGAGGGAGTGGACCCGCCTCAAGGATTGCTGCTCAAGGGCGTGTCATTGGTGTCTGGCGTACCCGGCGGCGGCTGGGGGAGGTCGGGTGCACGCCGCGCAGCGGGCCGGCCGAGGGGCGCGCTCACAGCGCTTGGAGCGCCGCGAGAGCGCTCGCAGAGGGCCGCTCGCGCCGCACATGCTCCTTTCACAACTGCTTCCCCTGCGCCCCGCAATTGCTTTCCCTGCGCCAGCTGCGCCTGGAGAACGCCCAGCTGCGCGCCGACGCCGTCGCCGCTGCAGCTGCGCCTGCAGCCGCCCCCGCCTCAGCGGCCCGGGCGGCTGCCGGCGCCGCGCCGGACGCGGCGCTGCGGCGCCAGGTCAAGGAGTTTGCCGCCACCACCCAGTCAGAGCTCGAGCGGAAACTGCAGGTGGCTGAGCTGACCGGCGCCCACTCATACACACGCACTTGTCGTCACTGGCATCCTGGGATGTACCTATAGCTGCATGAGGAGGGCTGCACATCCCAACAGGCGTCCTCGTGCTTTTATTGAATTCTTATCAACGTCCTCACACCCCCTGAACAGCAGGAACAGGCAGAACCACACCCGAACCCTGACGCCCGCCCCCCACGCATCCCACATGGCCCATGCCCTCTTGCACCTCATCCCCCACGCCGCCGCCCTCTCCCCTTCTCGCCCCCGCCCCTCCTCAGAACGCCGAGTCCAGAGCTGTCATGGCAGAGGAGCAGCTGGCACACCTGCAGGCAAGGCGGGCCCGTCGCTAGACGCGCCCAGGGGGGCTGGGGCCAGGGGCGGGACCGCGGGCAGGGGCCAGGGGCAGGAGCAGGGGCGGAAGCAGGGAAGCTTCTTGATCGAACCCGAATCACACATCAGGTGGCAGCTGCTGCCACGGAGGGGCAGTGTGCGCATTGTCGCTGCGTGCTGCGACCCACGGGTAGCCGGCATGGACCCTGGCACGCGCCCAACTTGCTTGCCCTCGCTCCTTGACCCCCGTCCTGGTCACTTTGGCTGCGCGCCTGGCGCTGCTCTCCTGCAGGCGTACCTGTCCCAGGCCTCGGTCGCATACCAGAGGGAAATCGTGCGGCTCAGGGCAGCGCTGGGGGCAGCAGCCGGGCCCGAGGCCGGGGACAGGCAGCCGGGTGGGGGCGGGCCCGTGCAGCTGCCGCCGCTGGCGCGCTGAGGGCGGGGCACCGTGGGCTGCGTGCAACGCGCGCCGACGCTCTCGCTGTAGGCCACGCCTCGGCGGTGCCTTGAATTGTGCATATTTCTAGAGGTCACGAGTGACTACCGTGAAAGAATACAGCGGAGAGGTGTGTTTTACAAGCTTGCACTGCCACTTGCAGTGCATGCAGACATTGGAAGGCAACACAGACACGCGGTCAGACGGCCAGCAACAGCGGCGAAGGAGCGAGCGCTGCGTGTTGCAGCAGCGAGCACACTCTCAAGATCACTGGATCGCATCAGTGCGGGACAAAAAAGCGCGAGTGGTGCACGGGTGGGCACAGGCTTGAGCACGCAACTCCTAAAGCCTGCGGCAATGCCAGATAAAAGCCCCAGGGAGAGGATAGGAGGATGGGGTTGCGGGATGATGGGGGCTGCAAGAGAGGGCGGACGGCCGACAGCCCTGGAGGGTGCGTTGGCAGCAGCGTGGAGCAGCAACAGCGCGACGATTTCGAGGTGTGCGACGCCTGTGTGGCCGTCATGCGCAGCAGCGGCGCCCAACTGCGCGACCGCTGCCGCACACGGCTTCCACCATACGAGAGACCAACCAGGCTGCATGCAGCGGGACAAAACTTTCCAGAAATGCAAGCTGGCGCGGCGGTGATGAAAGCGGCCGCGGCGCCAGGAATGGCATGATTTGGTGGCACATACAACAGCGGCCCGCGCACCCCGCCGCGGTGCGTCACAGCGACATGGTGCGCCGCAGCACGCTGTCTGGGCTGGCAATACTCTCGTGCTCCTGCAGCAGCGGAACGCCGCCAAACAGGTCCCCGTCCTGCCCGCTGCCAAACAGCGCCCCCTGATCCTCAGACAGCATGCCAACAAAATCGCCGTCCAGGTCTGTCTGCAGACCGGACACGCCAAGGCCGGACGCCCCCCCGCTGCCGCTTGCGCTTTGGAGCGCCGGGGGTGCAAGCGCTGCTGGGGCGGCTGGCACCGGCGTGGGCGCAGAGGGGTGCGGCTGCTGCTGTGCCTGTTCTTGAGTGGCCTGCAACTGCTGTTGCTGCTGCTGCTGCTGCTGCTGCTGCTGCTGCTGCTGTGCTGCCTGCTGCTGCGCCACGGCCTGCTGCTGCGCTGCCTGCTGTTTCATGGCTTGATGCTGTGCCTGCTGCAGTGCAGCTTGCTGTTGCGCGGCGTGCTGCTGCAATGCAAGCTGCTGCTGCTGCTGCTGCTGCTGGGAAGGGCTGGACGACGGCTGCCGGTCCGGCGAAGCCACTGCCGCCAACGTGACAGGCGGCACAACACCGCTGCGACCATACACCCCCGCCGTGCCTGCACCGCCCACCACACCGAGCACCCCCATCGGGCCCATCCCAGGCATGCCCCCAACCAAGCCGATCGGCTGGAGCACTGTCGCCTGCGCCGCCTGCAATAATGGCGCGGACAACGGCCCCGACACAATCGCCCCAGTGCCCGTCACGCCGGATCCGACCGCCGCGCCGTTTGGCAGCATCAGCCCCGCCGCCGCCGCGCGCGAGCGCAGCTCGACTATCTGCGCCTGCAGCGCCGCCTGTAGCCCCTCTTGCTGCGAAAGCTGCTGTTGCAGCGCCGCGGCCGCGCTTGCGGCTGCCGACGCCGCGGCGGCCGCCTCGTCGGCGCGGCCCTTCTCAGTTGCCAGGTGCTCCTGCATTCGTTTAATCTGGCCGTTGAGGTCTGTGGCCTGGTTCTCAAGCTCATGCACGTGCTGCAGCCGCTTCATGCGGGACCGCTGCGCCGACTGCCGGTTCGCGAGGATGCGCTTCGCGCGCCGCGGGTCCATGCCCGCCGTGTCGAGCGCGTTGGAGCGCGTCTTCCCGCCGCCTCCGGGGATGTCAAAGTCCTCGTCGGTGTCGTCGTCGCCCCCAGCGGCCGTCGCACGGCGGCTGCGGGGCGCGCTGCCGGCGGCGGCGGCGGCAGCGGCGCCGCGTGTGTTGCCCTTCAGCTCCGCCGCCGCCTCGGGTGCCGGCTCTGCCTGTGTTTGTGATGCAGCGGCCGACCAAGCTGTGTGACGAACAACCAAAAAGGTCGATAGTTGGGCCGCAACAAAGTTTGCCCTCATGCCTAGGGCTCGCACAAAGCAACAATGGCGGAGCGGCGCCGCACCTTGATCCGCGCAGCGTCGAGCACCATCTCGGCACCGCTCTGAGGGCCCAGCGCCGCCAGGTCCAACCCCGAAATACCAGGCATCAGCCCTTGAGGTACGGCAAAGCCCGAGCCCAGCGGCATGGCCCCAAAAGGGAATGCCTCGGGAACAAGGCCCCTGACACCGGGCTGTCCAAGCAGCTCCGCCGCTTGGGAGAAAGATTCGCTGCGGCTCCTCCTATGTTGAGGATGCATCACGCGTGCACCGGGCTTTGGCAAGCCCAGTGCATCGCCTCCCGCCAAGCCCGCGTCCCATCCAGCCTGCCAATCCATGCTTGCGAGCTCTGAGTACTGCGCGTTGTGGTTGCAACGCATGCCGTGGCTGCTTGGGCATCAAAGAAGTGCCTCCAGGGCCGCCCGGCTCCCCGACACATCATGGCGTCACTCGACGGATGGGGGTGCAGGATGCGTAATACCTGCATGGCAGCATCAGGAGCCCGCACCGGAGCAAACTGACATGCTGTTTGGGTGTTCATGGTGCAGCTGGCGCTGCATAACGCAACCACGCACACAGCGTGACTACCGCCGACGCAGCGAACGGCCAGCGAGTAACCTTGACTACGGAGGCATGCTCCTGCAGCTGGCTCTCCATGCGGTATTGGCAGGCACAGGCGTGCACGTGGAGTTGCAACCAATCCGGGGGCTTGATTGCATAAATACCACCTGAGGAATTTGTATCCACTGCTCTAACCTCTGGCACTGCTTTGGCACACCAACCGAGGACATGAAGGGGGTCCATCTGCAGCATCTTACCATTGGCAAGAGGGCCAGGTTGCAGAGGCGGCCGCCTGCGGGGGTAGTGCGAGCTTGTCTGCTGAGGCATCTGCAAGTGGACAAGCAAGAGGCAAATATGGGGAGCGGATGGGTCCCGCTCAACGCAGTCGCGGCGGCGAGGGCGGGTGAGCCCTCGCCCCGTTCGAGCAACCCCATGTGCACCATCCCTGTTGCTTGGCAAGACCATTGCAGCATACGGCTCATGGCTGCAGCTGCAGGCAGACGTCTTGAGCTCTGACGCCTGTCGCACGGCTGGTTGGAGGGGCGGCCAACAGCAGTATTCCCTGGAAGTGTAGATTTTGCACATATTTGTTGCCGCAACTTTCTCATCAAGCGGCACACAGCAATTGCCAAGCAAATATTCAAGCGGTTGGTTTGTGCTGCAAGCGCACTGCTGCCTGTCACCTGACGCTTTATGCTGAGGCAGCTCCTTACACTCTGCCAGCTGCACAATGTAATTGCGTTCGCGCTCACAGTGAGACTGCCTGCCAGGTTGACGCTGTGTTGTCCGCCGCGACATGTTGCAGCTGCAGTGGACCGCTAAGACGCCGCTGCTTGCCTTTCGAAGCTCGGGTCGTGCAGCTGCATCCACGTGTCACGTGTGATGGGGACGGGTGTGGCTGTGATGATGAGGAGCCTCATAACCTATGAGCTGGCCGCAGGGATGATTGTTGGCCTGGCCTGGCCAAGTCCCCGCCAAGCGTGTGCTCTGCTGGCAGCCGTGCATCGTATTGTGCTGCGGACCATCAACAGCCATCAAGGGCATGCGCCTGAGCGTGCCTAGTGGAAGTTGTTTCATGGAATAAGGTGCATGCAAAGATCCTTTCAGGGGATCCTTTTATAGTAGTAAGGATCCCCTGAAAGGATCTTTGCCATATACTCGCAGCTCATCAGCCTACAGTGCCGTGTCACATGTGTTGCTGCACTTGGTGACTACCGCGAGCCATGCTACTGACTACCGTAGGCTACCACGAGGCGACATGGGTGTAAATATGACTTTTCCTACGTAGTTGTTGTTACAACGCTGATTGTACTCGCAACGTATCAGCCTCGACGCCTAGATCACGAAATTTACACTGCTGGGTCTGACATACACCATTTCTTGTCAGGAAAACTCATTCCATGCGTAGTCTACACCAAGCTTGAATAGACACACCGAATCTGATCAGGCGCGGCGGCCTCTCGACTCGCAGCGTCGCCGCGCAACCTTGCACCAGCAAAGGGCGCGGGCTGCGAGCGTGTCAAGATGCAGCCGGGCGGGGGGTTCCCCGCTGGCATGAACCAGCTACAGATGCTGCAATATCAGCTACAGATGCAGCAGCAGCAACAGCTACAGCAGCAGCAACAACAACAGCAACAGCAGCAACAGCAGCAACAACAGCAGCAGCCACGGCCAGGCTTGCCGCCTCAGCAGCAGGCCACTGTGCAGCGGCCAGGCCTTGCGCCGCAGATCCACGCGCAGCAGCTGCAGCTCATCCAACAACTCAGCCAGCAAGGGGGCAATGGCCAGCCGCAGCAACAGCTTGTACAGCAATTGATGATGCAGGCGCGCCAGGCGGCAGCTCAGGGGCAGCAGCATCCTGCGGGGCAGCAGCTGCAGTTGCAGCAGCAGCAGCAGCAGCAGCAGCAGCAACTCCAGGCGCAGAGACAGCTAATGCAGTTTCAGAGGCAGCAGCAGCAGCAGCAGCAGGCGCAGCTTGGGGGCGCACCTGCGGCGATTCGCCCGGCAGCCCAGCCAGTCCTGCTTGGCGCCGCGGGCGCGCCAGGCGTCGGTTCCGCCGCCGGCGTGCAGCTTGCCGGGCGCGGCCCCGGCGCGGTGCCTGGAAGGAGAGGTGAGGTGGGCCCGCAGTAATGCTCTTGGGGCGGGCAATCTCCCGGGTTACGCACCTGGGCGGGGCTTGCTGCGCAGCTCGGGGTTCGCAGGGCTGCCACGCCGCGTCTGACTGGTGGCCAGCTTGCAGCGCTCGGCAACAAATTTTCAACACATGACACCCGGCGTGTGGTGCCTGCGCAGGACGGGGGCGCGGGCGCGGCAGGGGGGCGAGCCCTGCCCTGGGCCCGCCTGGGGCGCCCCTGATC